CCAGAGTTTCTGGTATTACGTACATACAACCCGTATAAAATTCAGTGCACTTAATATCGTGTAAGTTCACCACCAGCATCTAGTAAGACTATTTACATGAAAGCAATTAGATTTCGAATGACCTGTTGTTTGAACACGAGACTAATCAGCTTGATCTGCTCGCGCTGACTGTTGAAGCACCAGCTGCTGGCACTTTTAAAGAGGCCTGTCAATCTCTTCCTATAAATGCTCGAGGGGATTTAAAATTTGGGGAGAAGGCTACAGAATTTCTTAATTATTTTTTTGTTAGATGTCGTGTAGCCTTTCTGTGTGATGACTTGAATGCTTATGTTAACGTTAGAGTTCTGTATAATGGTAACGACATGTGTCTTCTAAATTTCGTCTTTCGTATTTTTGGCATTGCACTAGGTTTTATTTTCCTGTATGGGAAATAGCAGTCCGCAACATTTCGCTTCCAAAGCACAGTCGACTATCGGTATGCAACAATGGGAGAAACACTCCATGGGTCGTATGTGTACTCGGGTTCAATCGTTGATAAGACGAAGTAAATAAAAAAAACGTGACTAAGACAATCCATGCATATGCCAATAAAAGACTGGGCCACAGCTTGTGGGTTTAACAACACTGCAGTCATCGTTGAAGACGCTGATATGTAAATATGACTCGAGAAATATGAACTTTTAATACTGGGCATCTTGCATGAAGTTCAGCTTCTCGCAAGTAATTATGGACAGATAGCGATATCTTGCGCATGCCTAGTATATACGGATGCGGTGAAAACTGCTTTGTGGCATATCCTGTTGGTGACACTACCGGATGAACCGATTTTGGGCTGCTAGTTTGTACCGTGATATTGACACATGGTTTGTGAAGGATACGTTTATTTTCTTTGTTTTAGAACCGGAATCTCCATTTGAATTTCGTTATATATTTATAATATGATGCATTTGTTACTTGTGAAAGAAGACGAAGTGTGTATAAATCATTAATTAAAAAACTGATTTTTTCCAAATTTAAACTACTACAGTAAAATGTACTAAGGCTATCAATTAATTTTACAGTTGACAAATTATGACATTGAAAAATACCACAAAATCACTATCATTTAAAAATAATCCGTAAATTTTGAGGTACACTAGGTTTTATCATTGGCTTTGAAAAGGGCTAATCAATACATAAACCATGACCAAAATGCAAAAAAAAAAAAAAAAAATTACCAGCATATTTTCAATTTCTGTTGAAGTGATAATGTAAACGTAAAATTAAAAACAATGAAGTTAAGGCTTATTATAATTCAACCTTCGTGTATCAGTTTCCAAAAGTTACAAGATACAAAAATCTGCCAGATTGATAAGGGGAGTTTTCCCAGAGAACTCATTTTGTTTGCTATAAAATTTAAAGCATATGTTGAATAAGCACTATGAATATAGAAAGTGCATCATAAGCCTATTTGGCTTGCTGATTATTTTGTATTTTAAAACATGTATTTATTTGTTTATTTAGGTTGCACTACAATAAATAATTCTTCTTCTTCTTCTATAGACTCATTTAAAAATTATGCAGAATTTATTTTCATTGTTTAACTGTCAATATTCTTTTGGTAATCAGATACAACTAATTAGCGGGAAATGATGTGATGCCCCTTCCTTATATTCTTCGCAAATCCCGAGACAAACGATACCGAAAGGAGGAAACGATACCGGGTAGGATACTGCGCAAATGCGGAAGACTGAAATAAGTTAGAAAAAATAGTTAACGATTTTGAGTTCATTAGTATATTGATCTTTTTATTGGTTTTTAATTTTATTGATTTTTCTACTGTTATTGAGGACTTAAACTGAAAGTCTTTGTCCTCATATATATAATGCAACGTTGAAAACCCTGCTTACTGCTTAAATAATTTGCCTCAATCCAGTTAGCAAATTAAATCATTTCCTTTTGTAACGTTTAGTGAATGCATGCCTTTACGGGTCGATAACAATTATTGAAGGTATGCCTTTACGGGTCGATAGCAATTAATTTCAGGAAACACGGAAATAAAGAGAAAAAATGCTTTTTATAGCCAATGATTTGTTATAGCAGATGTAGTTCGTTCATTTTTGCGGTGACAGTATTTTTTCATGGTATATGGATTTTGTAAATGTAGCACATTGAAACGAAACGATACATAACAAGATTTAGAACCACGATTTGAAAAAAGGCAAGCAACTGCACTAGTATTATAGTATTTTTTAATTGGTACATTGCTTGATTTTTGGTATGTAGTTTTATAAGTTTTGCTTTTTCGAGAGGTACTAAAAAGCAAAGTCAAACGTATACGAGAGCATATTTGAAGATTTTTTTCAGTTGACCATAGCCTTGGGTGCGATTAGACATTGGTTCTATCCTTTGCCAGCTGATGAGATCAAATTAAAATAGACAACCGAGCAAAGTTTCGATTGAATTAAGAATAACTTGTCCGTATTGCTTGAAAAGTATACACTGGTATACACACAGACATTCTGCTGTAGGAAACAACAAGCATTCGGCTCCTAGGAACTGGAATTGATCATTGTTGAAGCATTCGAAATTTTGATATTTACGGAAAAGCAGTACAAAAAGTATCTGAATATCGTCAATCATCCCCGCAAAAACAATGTCCTTCCCCTGAACAATTATCAAAATAATAACTATCAATGGTGTGAACGAAGATCTCAATTTGCTTGAATCCTTTATATATATATAAATTCCTAATTTCAGTGGTCGATAGTTGAGTATAAGGATGACAGGATTCAATTTCAACACTTCTAGTCTGCATTTGATCATTCTTTTGTACGCCATTATTTTCCGTACTTTTATGATGTACCTGTTTATTATATGTTATCAATAGGTTACAAGAGCGCAATTATTCATAATGCATTTTCCATAGGGTACCAGTGGTGTTCCGTATTTTATTTCTCGAAGACTACACAAACTAAGAAAAAACAGAAAGCAGTTCCTGTTGCTAGAAATGCCAGTGTTGCATAACAACCAAAAAAATATATATGGTCATGCGGCAAAAATTGACTTAAAATGCAGTTGAAAAACATCGTCTATTTTTTTTCGCTTAATGAAAAAGGCATATTTTTAATGGCTCCGACGTGCAGAAATGGAAGATATTTTCTACACTTTGTAAAATGTGAATTTTATTTTCTGTGTTTTTTAAACCTAATTGGATAAGCTTTCGATTAAAAGTAATTCCAATCCTGTATCATCCAATCAGAAGCCTTACAAGATTATATTCTGAGGACCCTCTTACTTGCCGGTAAAATGTAAACAAATAATTGCGCTCTTGTAACCTATAAGTGCTTCCTTACTGATTTTATGTTACCGTATTTCACATTCATTACTGCATTCTTCTAATCGTAATCGAGATCATTTTAGGAGAGGATTGCGTAATGTGTCTGTCCAAAGTCAGGAATATGTACTTTTTGTTAGTTATTCTAAGTGATATTGTTCATTGTGAGAATAGCAGATGTTCGGCAAACAAAAGATTCAATACGTGTCTAGGCTCGCTGAATCATGTGTAGAGCTTAATATAAAGTACAGATACTAATCAGTAGTTAAAAACTGTATTTTGACCACTTTTTAGATTTTCTTCGACTATTTGCGTTGATCGACGGTTGTTTTATACTAAATCCAAAGCCTCTTTTTAAGGAGTCATTACTCTAAAACGACATTTTTTACAATTTTTCAATTGTTGGCTAATATTCAAAAAATTGAAAAATAGAGATAATGTTAGAGAGAACTTTAAATTGCAAAAATTATCCGAAAGGAAAGATCTGAAAATTAGGCGCTATAAGTCAAATGGAGATATTGCCCTAAAATGACGATAACTGTTTCCCAATTTTGTCGTTTTTAGTTGTAACAAAATAGTCTTTTTATCATTAAACGAAAAGAAATGGGTACATAACCACAATGGACCTATTGTAATCATTTTGGGACAATAGCTAAGATAGGAAATAGTAGATATGGGAAAGCTTTAAACAGTACATAATGATAATAAAAAGATTTACTGATAAGTCGAATGACAGAAATCATCAGTCAACTTCATATCTAGGATCTGTTGCCCTTAAATGATTATAGAATCTTTTTTGCGTTTTTGACTAGTACTTTTATTTTGTAAATTGTAGTAGATAGAGGGAAATTTTATATGATAGGTCAAAAGAGTTTTCGATTCATAATAAGAGTTATTGCCATGAAAATATACAGAGAAAAAATAGTAAATAGCAAAAAGTTATCAACAAGATATATATGAATATGTTTGATTATTTGTTGGTTTGTTGTCTTGTTTCGCTTCATACATGTATATGTAACATGTAGAACGACGCTGTTAACTGCAAACAATTCCACAAAATTAGATTAAAAACAACAACAAAAATACAATTGTTTATCGACTTCTTACAGTAGTTGTTGACCCTAAACCACAGTTCGCATTAATTTTTATTTCTTTTTTCACCATTATCCTGAAATATTTAATAGATAAACAAAACATCTGTCCAGGGAATGATCAGCACAAAAAAACATTGACCCACTCGAGTTCCAATTCAGAAATTTTCTCTGTTTTTATTGTACAGTTTTGTGCAAAAATGACATGATTTAGTTGATATTTCGTATTCATTAAGGGTAACATTAAATGTCCTTGCATCTTCTCCTTCAATGCTGTTTTAAGGAAGTGTTTAAATAAAACATTTATTAGTGTGTTTTGTTTGCCACAAGTCATGTTTATTTTTATTTTTTTTGAGAAATCGATTTCTCTCTCTCTCTCTCTCTCTCTCTCTCTCTCTCTCTCTCTCTCTCTCTCTCTCTCAATGTTATAGAGATTGCTGGTCAAATTAAATTTCATCCATCACATACCGTGTAATACTGTCACATGCCAAGCATTGGCAAGCATTGCCTTACAGTTTGGTACCATTAACATGTTATATATTATACACCTTTTCTTTATATTTCTTTCCTTATTTGAATAGATTTCTAACCAAAAAGAATCTTGAAGTAAGGGACCTCCACGTGGTAAGATTCGGGCAACAGTTATTCGAATATCTGGCCAACACCTTACTCTATCATGTAAGTAATATAACAGAAATCAATATACCATTTAGGGCGCAGTGAAGATATTTGAAACTACAATATTGTAATTAGAAAAGAAAGATTCCATATCGCGTTTGTCGTTTTTTTTTTTGCATTTGTTAACAGAAAATGTAATTTTTATTTTTATTTAAACCATGCGTAGAAACACTTCTTTTAAAGTTCCAACAAGAAAAATGAATAATGTAATCTTATAACTAGCCATTGTATATTGAGATTGACGTTTCGAAATATCCATTGAAGTTCGTTGCATTATTTTTCTCTATTGTAATGCATAAAAAAGATTGTTGTTTTAAAAACAACGGTATTGATTGTGCGATACATAAAAAAATATGTGTTTTGTAGGATGTACTGTAAAGCTGAGTTTTTTTATGTCGCCAAAATTTTCATCTTCTTTTTTGATATACACGAGGCATCAAGTAAGCATACAATTTATATTCCTTAATTAATTAGTTTATATTATTACCATTTGATAATACACATCTATTCTTGGTCATCTGTATATGTGGAACAGTGCAGTAAAATAAAAAAATAAAAAAATAAAAACACAGAAACATTTGACAAATTTGCTTAAATAGTGTTGCAACCTTAGTTTACGTATACAAAGTCATGTACCATTCATGAACTGTGAAGTTCAACTTACAAAAGAGTGGCGGAAGATACAAAAGGACTATTCACACTAACCAGTGAAGACAAATCTGCAACTCTATGGCAACCATAGCAATAAACGAAAAACTATGGAAAGAAACTGAGACTATCGTATACACTTCAAAAACACTTAAACATGCTAAAATAGTTCAATACAAAGCATTGTATCATTCCGATACTAGTTTTCTTGAAAACAATCATTCAATTTATAGAAATATAATATACACAGCAGAACGATCCGCTTTAGTTAATTAAACATTAGCTTGTAGTAGAAAGAATACTCATAAGTTCTTTTCTTTTCTTTTCCTTTTTATTGTCTTTATACTTATTGCAGTAAAATGGGAAATAACAACAACACCAGTAATTATTGGGAAAGAGGCACGCCTGATTTGTAATGGACAAAACTGTCCACCTGGCAACACCAAAAAATGGCTTGGTGGGAAAAACTATGACCTTCTTTGCTTTGATAACCAGTCAAAGAATATCTCAAAATATGAAATGAAGTCAAATGGTACAGATTTTGAGCTTATGATTAAAACCTTGAGCTTCAGCGATCTGAACTGTGAATACACGTGTGCCTGTGGATTCCAACAGTATACTAACATGTTAAAGTTTGACAAAGAAGTAATTTGTAAGTTAACAAGCAAGATAAACAGCTACTTTTACATGAATCAGTTTTTTTACTTCTGTAATCTTATAGTACTAAAACTGTACCTAAATTATGTAGTGTTTCTGGACTATTGTGCTATTTTAGTACCATAATTCTACAGGAATATATTTGTATTACTTTTGGACCTCAATAGTGTACAAAATAGATGCATATTACTTCTTTTTTACTATAATTTGATAGGGAATATATTAAAAGTGCATTAAATACTTTTAAAAATACTGAATTGATGCAAAAATGTTTTTGTATACCTAAGCTGTTAAGCACATTAAAAGTACTAGACTGTATAACATGTTACTTTCAACTTGAAACACAAATCCAGGACTGTATAAATTATGGTAGACATAAGTGAAAAAGTACATGTACCATAAATTCGAAATACTGATCAAGTACTACATTATTTAAGTTTTCAGTACTTTAGATTAATAGTACGCTACAATCAGAAGAAGTAAAATATAGAGTCATTTTTATCTTAAACAATGACAGACACTTTGTATTTTGTCAGTTTAACCGTAACGACAGTTTTGTTAGCAAATTAATGAAGTCAACATATATAGCAGCTGCAATGCAAAACTTGCAAAAATCGTATAATGCCACACTAATGATTTGATGTCTAGTTCTTCGGACAACTGCTAAAAAAATATTGGGCGAGCGAGCGAAATTTTGTTCTTTTTTTTTCTTGAAAATGATTTTTTTTTTTGAGCGAGTGCTTTACAAGAAAAGCGTGCTGTAAATTGCTTGTTTAATTGTGTGATTTAGAAGTTGTACAATTTATGTTCATGTTATAACTGGGTTTTTTCTTCCAAAAAAACGAGGACAACAGATACTCTAATGCATAATGTTTGGTCTATTGGTGCCTGTGCTATAACAGACTTTCTTTTTCTCACTATGGTTTAGTTAATTTGGGTTATTTTCTCCACGTAAGCTTTGTCTGCGTGAATTATTATTTAAATCCACCAGGCAACTATATATTTTAAGGAAACATAGCAACCATTGTTATCTTCATTTTTTATCAAATAAAAAACTTCTGTCGACTCATGTAGATCTGTTCATTTACTCTTCGTTTGGGTGAAGTTTAAGTGTAAGAGAATAAAGGGTAATAAAAGAGTAATTATGTTACATGTAGTTAGGCAAATGACACATGTTGAATAAAAGTAAAATATGTGTATGTTTCCAAGCGAATGCTCTGACATATATTTGATAGACGATGTTTTCATTATATGGTAATGCTTGTTTATTGGGAGCTTGACTTGCCTTTCATATATTTGGCATTGAATGTGTTGTTTTCATTTTGTTTACATCAAGTTGGAACTATTCATCCATATTCAGGATCAAAATAATGAGCGAGGTGAATATTTATTGCCTTGTACTAAAACAACATGATGAGCAAGATATGTATATTGCTATACATGTACAAAATGTATATCCCAAGGTATTAAAATGTTCCATTGAAATGCCTGTCACCACATTCAGATACGTTATTTTGACTAAGCAAAAATTCTTTCCTTTTTCTCCTAACAACGGAAAATTTAAAACTGTTTAACTTGACGAGAAGTGGCTAAACCAATTACACACCCATAATTTTGATGAGTATGCAAATAATAAATTCTACCATCACATTGGTCTCGTTGGTACTATTTAAATCCCCCCTGACAAAGAAGAGTTCGGTTTGCATGCAAAAACATTAACAGGGGGATATGAGGTCTCATCAAAATCGATAATTTCGAGGAAAACAGCTTATTTTGTAAAGATATAACATTTCGGGGGGTAATTCCCAAAAACAGAATAGAATAAACAGAAAAAATACTTGAACGATTTTGTGATAAAATTAATATAAATCGTGAGAAACATGCGATTTATTTTTTATTCATACACCAAATGGTATCATTTTTTGGTGGTTTTTGTTTTTGGATAATGATGTGAGATCTGAATTTGGTACTTAAAGATAAGACTGAAACACAAAAATGGGGTTTTTAAACCAATGTGTTAAGTTTTAAGATATACATTTATGTTAAAAGGAATATAGAGAAAGGTGCAGTATGTTATATAGGTAAATAAAGGGATGTGTAATTAAATATTTGCTAAGTTGAAAGATTGAAGGTCAAACTTAGCTTATAATATAAAGAATGCATACGTCATCAAGATGTTCATATTTTTGTATTCTAATGACTCTGTGTGCCATAAACAATATGTGAATCATCATTTGACATAAATGAGCAAGGGATTCCACAGATACACAAATTAGGGAAAGAAATAGTATCCTTCACTAAAAAATGTTTCCTCTACTAAATTTCCATAAAGATTCGATAAAATAGTGGACTGAATAAACATGTTGGTAAAGATATATATTGAAAGAGAGAGAGTTCCCATATAGTGGTTATTATGCATACAAGAGTTTACACCTTAACACCCAGCACTAAAGACAAAATCTCTAAATGTCTTCAATACTGGGTATACTGAAAAGAATGTATAAGGTGTACATGTGTTTTTGCATGAAACAAATGTAATTACGAACAATTTCACAGAATAAAGGTTAAAGGTACATATTTTACTCCACAGAGGGACGCTACAAGTGCATTTAGATACCACATTCTCTTGCAAAAGTACAGCTGCTTGTCTGTAGTGTTTTTATACGACCGCAAAAAAACTTTTGGGATCGTATAATGGTATGTTGTCGTCGTCGTCTGCGTCGTCGTCGTCTGCGTCGTCGTCCGAAGTCACATTGGTTTCCGGACAATAACTTTAGTTTAAGTACATGGATCTCTATGACATTTTTTAAGAAGGTTCAATACCACAAAAGGAAGGTTGGGATTGATTTTGGGGATGATGGACCCAACCGTTTATGAAAAAGGGGCCCAAAAAGGGGCCCAAAACAAGCATTTTTCTAGTTTCAGGATAATAAATTGTGTTTAAGTATTTCGATTGCTCTGAAATTGTACCACAATGTTTAATACCACAAGTAGAAGGTTGGGATTTATTTTAGGGGTTATGGGGTCAAAAGTTTAGGAATTAAGGGCCAAAAAGGGGCCAAAAAGAACCATGTTTCTAGTTTCCAGACCATTATTTGTGTGTAAGTGTATGGATCTCTCTGACATTGTACTACAAGGTTCCATATAACAAAGGGAAGGCGGAGACTGAGTTTGGGGTTAATTGCCCCAAACATGTAGGAATTAGGGGCCAAAAAAGGGCCAAAAACAAGCATTTTTCTAGTTTCCAGACAATAACTTGTGTGTAAGTGTATGGATCTCTCTGAAATTGTACTATAAGGTTCCATACTACAAAGGAAAGGTTTGGATTGAGTTTTTAGGTTATTGCTCCAAGGGGAGGGGGGGTTTCAAAAAGTTGGTGGGGGGAGAATTTTTTCCCCAATTTTTTTAAGGGATTCATATTTTTATATTTTTTTTCAAAATTTTTAAAATTTCGAATTTTTGAAAAGTTTCAAGAAGAAATCTTTAATTGCGCAGTATTGCGCAATGGGTTTATAAGATCTTTGACCACATTTATTTTGTGTCAGAAACCTTAATTATGTCAAAAATTTGATCACAATCCAAATTCAGACAGTATCAAGCTTAAATATTGTGTCTAAATTTGCCCCAACTGTTCAGGGTTCGACCTCTGCGGTCGTATCAAGCTGCGCTCAGCGAAGCATTTTATTGAGGATGATATTGAACATTGGTTTATCCTTGTCATTTTCTTTAGAGTTTGGAACTTATTACCATGTGCACCCTTAATGTATTTTGTTTTAAAACATATTTAAGTTAAATCTTGTTTAATAGAAAACAAATGGCCGTTGTTATGGGCAAAGTTTTGTTGCTAGGGAGAAATTACAATGATTTTGTCCAATAATTGCATTACATTGTGTCACATTTAAACAGTATATAAATGAAAAATTCACTGCATGTTAAACAGGTTGAATCTTAAACAAAAACAGATTAAAGCTGCACATTTGGCATAAATATTGAGTTTATCGCCACCATTAAACTGGTTGCTAGACAACAGAATATACCAGATAGACCCAAAATACAACCATTTTCAGAAGGTCTGTGGTATAGAGTTACAACATGAAATTTTAAACGAAATTTTTGGGTTGGTTCCTTATCGCCTCTTGTCCTTTGCGGAAGTGGTAATGTTTTTTTTTTATAATAAAGTGATCAATTTCTCCGAAACAGGAGCGGGAAAATCCGAAGGACTAGGAATCAAATTGGTGTGGCCTAAAACGACGTTGCGAATGTGACATATTGTACTATAATATATTGTTGTACTAGGATAACATATTTGAACAAATACCCTATTAATAGTATCGTTATATCAATGGCTCTTAGATCAACCGAATCAGGCAACGTACTGTGAATGACTGTTCTTGTTTTCTAGATATGGTTCTATATAAAAGTTGCAAGTAATTTTTCAGTGGTATAATTGTATACATATTTCAAAGACTAAGGACTGAGAGTGAACTGTGAATTCATTTTTGAATGTGCTTTTATAACGTTACTGTATTCATTGAAGAATATCTTAAATCATTCTTTCAGATCCACCAGTTCTACATGACCACTCTCGTGCACACTTGCAGGAAGACGGTAAATTCCAAATTAATGTGACGATGGAAGTTTTTCCGTTACCAACATGCAGAATAGTCTTAAAGGTACACATTTGTTATAGTGAATGCACACAACAACAACACATACAAAAACAACAACAAAACCAACAACAACAATATGTTTTGGGGCCCTTTATAGCTTGCTGTTCGGTGTGAGCCAATGCTCCGTGTTGAAGGCCGTACCTTGACCTATAATGGTTTACTTTTATAAATTGTTACTTGGATGGAGAGTTGTCTCATTGGCACTCATACCACATCTTCCTATATCTATATACTGTATTTAGTGTATTCAAGAAACAGAAAGCCGCAAACACTTGTATCATGTAGAACATCGGAAAAATAACCGTTTGAATAATTTGTGTTAAAAACTAAAAGATATATAAAGATTATACAAGCAATGATGAGGTTTCGGGTTTGGAACAGGTACATGAACATGTGACATAGTAAAGTTTCTGAGAAGCCCTCCTCTCTATGTTTCTATGATGGAATAAAAAACATTATTGAATCATGCATACATGCATATATGTTAAACTAAGTCTTACATGCACGTTTTATTTATATTTATCGGTCGTCCCACTGTCTATATCACTCTGCTCACCTCTTAATAAAATTGCATATCACGGCTTTGTGACGTCAAATACGTTGACCCGGCCTTAATAACTTTGACACAGACGACGTCATGATATATGAGCCGACGTTGATAAACTTGACCCGAACTTATCACGTCATCTTCCGGTCTGCTGGTGAAACAAAGAAAACACTTGCTTCTATCATGCAAAATACGCAAATACAACCCGATAAATCGAGTATCTGGATGTCTGCATATTTATATTGTGAAATATTAGCTGCTCGACACAATATGAAGCCTTTTTGATCTCGTTCGCTGCGCTCACTCGATAAAAAGCTTCATATTGTGACTCGCAGCTGATATTTTACGATATCAATATGCAGACAACCTGATAATCGGTACTTATTACACATCTATAACGTATTATCGACGAATAATATTTCAACCATTGTTGATTGCATGTTAATGATCTTTCGAGTTTGTTGCCGAAGTTTACAGGATCGTGACATTGATAAACATAAAAAAACAGATCATGTGGAAAGCGTGACAGATAAGTGAATTGAAAGAGCCATGACATTTGTTTTTATATTTTCCATGCGTTCCCATTCGTTATTTAAACTATTTCTGAACAGTTGTTAAATGAGTTGTTGTACTAAATTTCTTCCTTAAGAATCTGTTATTACTGTTTAACTTCAAACGCACGTTTGTTTACATTCTTTCATCACGGTTTTCCACTCGCACTTGCGCTGGCTAAAGTTATAACGAGAGGTCTCGTAGTTTAGAGTCACTGCATACGGAAAAATATAGGCGAATTAGTTACTGAGAAGTCAATAATTCAATATCGGTACATTTACGAAGATTTTGATAATGTAAAGAATGTTCTTAAAAAAAAAGTTCACGTTCACTTCTTTCAGAGTAAAACTTAGCCACTCAAGTATATAAAACATTTTCAACTTTTTTTTTAAATTTGAAGTTTCATATGACTTTAATAACGACTCGATAGACACGTAAAAATAGAAACACATCAAGAATATATCATATTGTATTTCAAAATTCAATAAAAGCAAGCTCAAAGTACTATACTTGTTGATATGAAATCACGCCGTCATATATAACATTTTCTAATTAAATCTTGTCTTTTAATTCTATAAAAATTCTATGTATATTTTAGGATAGCGTTTTGCCATTAAACATATCAGTGGTAAATAGACCAGAAGGTGAACTTGATCTGTTTGAAGTTGTTGTACAGGCCACAATTGGGACGGATATGGTTCTTTGTGGAGTAAATTTAACACTAGATTGTAAAGTAGGATCGATTCAATACCACCATCTTCTCAGAAGACCGTACTCATGCAAAAAAGGTGTCTTTCTGACCTATTCACATTTTACAATACACTTTTACTATTACCCGATTTTGCAATCTAAAGCTTTACAAATATGAAATAAGAAATGACTATGAATATATAAAATTAGAAGTGGACCATTCCTTTCCATGATTGGCAAAATATATTTCTATAGATCTCAATGTTATGCTACATTTTTAACCGGATTTTCGAAGTAAATATCGGTTATTGATTTGGGGATTGTACGGCGGGCGGGCGGTCGGGCGGGTGATCGGCTGCCAAACACATTTAGATATGTTGTTTCCTCTGACTAAATGAAGGTCAAGTTCAGTTTTCACGATGTTAGCTTTTCTCATTGTTGAGTTACAGGCCTTTCTCAAGAATTCAATTTTTGATAAATTACTCAATTTCTGTACAAAGGGAAATAACTCATTTTTTAAAAGATTTTTAAAAGACATGTTGTTTTAATGATAAATGACATTTTGGATTTTTTTTTCTTTTATTTGGTAAATTGTGTGAAGAATTTTGTGGTAGGTTTGTTTGTTATTCTGTATAAAATAGTTTTCTGAATGCTATATATATAAAAAAAATTTATGATGTGAACTCCTTTAATTAGATAATAATCTATTTTTATTAGGATGTATTTCATTACATTACATTGTGTAGATGAAGTTGATAGATAAGTTGCAGATCTTTATTAGTTTGTGACAAATGAAAGAGAAATATTTGGAACTATTAATTATATTTGATTATAATTTGAAAATAGATATAGTGTAACATTATATCTAATTTTAGAGAACAATTTTTAGTGGTTGAATCATATATTTTACTTGATCCTGTTTGGGGTTCCTAATTTGAAAATTCATTTGATAATAATCTTTTTTTATTAAAGGATATATTTCATCACATTGCATTATGTAGATGAATGATAGATAAGTCCCAAATATATATTATATTGTTACAAATGAAAGAAAAAATATTGGGAACTATTAAATATATATATATAAAGTTTGATTATACTAAGTGTTTTTAAATGATTTTCACCTTTTATCAAGATAACACACCATCTTGTAATTGTCAATCACCCAATTATAACTGGGGTGACAGATTTATTTGAAAACTATTAATAATATTTGTTTATAATTTGAAAATAAATATAACATCATATCTAATTACATCATATCTAATTTAAGAGAACTATGATTAAATCATATTTAATTTTAGATTTACATTATTGGTTCATGGAAATAAGGTTCGAGTTATTTCCCTTTGAACAGAAATGGTTTAACTAAGAAGTATTTCATCCAAAATTGAATTCTTGTGGTTCTTTGATATGCTGATTCTAGCAATGTACTTAGATTTTGGATATTGGACCATAATAGGTAAATGTCCAATTTCAAATTTTTCAGTTATTTGACCACATTTATTTTGTGTCACAAACCTATACTGTATCAAATATTCAAACACATTCCAAATTCAGAGCTGTTTTAAGCTTAAATGTTGTGTCCATACTTGCTCAACTGTTCAGGGTTCGACCTCTGCAGGAAAATCCGGTTTGCTGTCTCTCTGACAGACTCTTGTTTAAATTGATTTGAGAGTTTAACATAATTTAATGTAGCAAAAGGCATAATTAGAATACACTTCTACCATTACCCGATTTTGCAATCTTAAGCTTTACAAATATGAAATAAGAAGTTGACTATGAATATATAAAATTAAAAGTGGACAATTCCTTTCCATGATTGGTAAAATATATTTCTATAGATCTCAATTTTATGCTATATTTTTTTCAGTTGATTTGAAAGTTTAACATAGTTTAATGTAGCAAAAGGCATAATTAGAATATACTTCTACTTAAATTTTCATATTCATTTTTTTATGTTTGCTTGTGGTCTAGTGGGGTTTTAATTTGACATAATGTTTACCGACATAAAAACCTAGGTTTAATTTATAAGGAAATTTGTTTTTTCGTTAAAACTGTTTCATATTTTGTCATGTCGAGGCCTTTTTAAGCGTTCTATTCGATATGAGATTTGCTCATTGTCGAAGTATAAAGGCAACAGTAGTATACCGCTGTTCGAAACTCATAAATCGATAGAGATAAAAACAAATCCGGGTTACAAACAGTGACCTTTATTTGCTTGAATCCGAGTCATTTAGTCTCTTGTGGGTTGAATTGGTTCATTACCAATCATACAGCATTTTCTTTTTTTATATTTGATTGTTTGAAGGTGCACGACGTTTAATGATTTGAAATCAACAAGTTACGCCCTTTGTGACTGCTTTCAATAACTATGAGATCAATGCGTTACCCTCGAGGTAATTAGGAATGGTTTATTTAATAATTTGCGGAATGAAGGCTGAAATGACTGCAGAAATTCTATAGTTTTTAAAGACTGTAATAAGGAATGATTTAAAACCAATAATATCTAATTTTTATGAATTTCAAATCCATCATACTATACTCTGGCTATCACCTAGGTCAAAATTTCATTACAGCAATTATATTCTTATAGCATTACACTAGGTCTTTTCAGTCTGAAAGCTTTATATTAAGTAACTTTTATTTGCATTATATAAAGGTACAATTCTTTAGCACTATATTATCAAGGTAGATTCATGTTCCAATTATATTCTTATAGCAAATCCAATTATATTCTTATAGCATTACACTAGGTGCATTCTTATAGCATTACACTATATGCATTCTTATAGCATTACACAAAGTTCATTCTTATAGCATTACACTAGGTTCATTCTTATAGCATTACACTAGGTGCATTCTTGTAGCATTAAATTAGGTACATTCTTAGAGCATTACACTAGCATTATACTAGATTTAATACATTCTTATAGCATTACACTAAGTACATTTTAAGTATAGCATCAAGCTGGATACATTTAATCATTCTTATAGCATAGCACTTTGTGCATTCAAATGGAAATACAACAGATACATGTACAGCATTACACTATACATTATTGTATTAATGTACTATGGTACGTCGAACTCATAGTATTTCATTTGGTGTATGTTTTCGTCTTGAATATTAATAAAAAAAAACATACACTGGGATGGGAACAAAACATCAAATCGAGTCTATTTTGTTACAGTTTATAACGGGTTCTACTTTTGATCTTAATTATTACAGCCATATAAATTCTCAATATAATATGCATTTTTTCATTGAAATCAGTTCATGTAGATACTGAACAAGTAGTTCAAAAAGAAATTCCTTTGGTATTGCAAATCCATTTTTCTTGTCATATATTATATATCGTGCTTTGTCATGTAGCAAGCGATCGAGACAGGAAATATGGTAAAATGAAATTGCACAGTGGTATCGCAAGACCAGTAAAAATAGGTTAAAAGTGTAGACTAGATTGTTCGCATTATGTGGAATATATAGCACCGCAAATGGTTAATGACTTCTTTCCCTTTCCTTTTTGATCGGAATACTACTGTTAACGATCGAGCACTTGTTTGTTTCAAAGAACATTTTGCGTCAAGTATCAGTATTTCAACCGTCTGGACATTTTAGAATATACACTTGTTTTTAGATTATAATTTCACCACAGAAATGGTTTGATATCCGCTGTTATGTCAAGACTGAGTTGTCTTTGTAAAAGTATATTTTACCAATAAATATAATTATGTATAAACCTAATTACAGATGATAGAGAACATAGTAATCCACAGTATTTTATAATGGCTGGTATAGTTCTCGCACTAGTATTTGTGATTGTGGTCCTAATGAAATGTAGATTAGGTAAGGTAAACAATATAATCACTTTTATCCTGCAATTAGCCAACACATGTACAAATAACAGGTACACAAATAAATGTTTGCTTTATTTGAACCTGTACAAATAAAATATCCTGGTACTCCGCTTTTGTATTGAGCAAAAAGTGCAATTACAAAAATACCGAACTTCAAGGAAAATTCAAAACGGAAAGTCCCTTAACAAATGGCAAAATCAAAAGCTCAAACACATCAAACGAATGGAAACATCTGTCATATTCCTGACTTGGTACAGACAAATGTAGAAAATGGTGGATAAAACCTGGTTTTATAGCTAACTAAACCTCTCACTTCTATGATAGTCGCTTAGAAGTCAATTATATTGACAACAATGTGTGAACAAAACAAACACACATAATAGGTAAAAATGTCAAAATAGGGGTACAGCAGTCAACATTGTGTTATAATCTTATTCACTATAAAACACACGAATATGTCACCGGAAATGTAATTAAAAATAGACCTACAAAAAATGAAAATGACTGAAGTCAATTGCTTTAATTATTTCATTTAATGACGATTTTCACAAACTTTTACGTCATATCAGCTGTATAGGAGTATGCCAGGTAGGCAATAAGGATTTTTGGGGCCTCCGTTTTTATAGATTAAATTTTTAGTTTGAGCTTGAAATTTTCCAGGAAAACACAATGTTACTAATCAAAGAGATGTAGGCAGTGCAAGTTATACAGTTGTAAATGCAAATAAATGTTAAATATGTCGACACGTCAAGAAACAAACAATTATCCTGAGAAGAAGACTTATATAGAAGAAGGATTACATGATATTCTCTCAGAAGGATTTAACCAGCTGAAGTTAAAGGTATAATATTTGTGTATAGATGTATTACTCTAGTGAAATTGAGAAACTTAAGCTGTATAACCAATCGCATAGGTGAACACTGAGACGAAGCGATCAGAAGTCAAACAACAAATATACGGATACAGGCACCGAATACGAAGGCAGTTTAAATAAAATTAGCACCAATTCAGATAGTATGTACAAAAATGTGCAGTTATAAATGGAATATTTTGGCCTTTCAAAACGACATCGTTCCAAGGAAAAGCTAAGTCATGCATCAACTAAAACTCAACATTTACGCATTTGAAAAAATTGTATCGAAGAATCGACGATAAGACGGAGAAGCAAAGAAATAACTTTTGAAATGTTCTTAACTGGTAGTTCACTTAAATCATTATTTTAGTCAGTTGAAGGAGTTGACAATGAATAAAATATATCGATAGAATAATACGAGAAATCGTCAGAATTATAAAAACAGACTGAAACATCGGTGCATTACAACGTATGCATTATAGGGAAGCACACAATTCAATGCGATCGAACAATGACATAGTCATAAAATGATCAACCTTTATTTTTCAGCAATATTTATTTTAGCAGTTTAAATAAAACTGTGTACTCCCGTTTCAGAAGATCATATTTGTGATGACGTTTGAGAATTTTTCAAATTGATGATATTCACCTCTGGCATTTGGTGAGAATTGTGTCATTGTACTTTTATCTGCCTCTATTCTACTTTTGTTCAGATTTGTAAAATGAAATGTTTCCCCATGAAAGTCCATACAATTAATAACCTTCTGACGCTAATAGAATAACACTAACGTACGTCTTTTATGGTTGCAAGAGCGCAATTATTTGTTTACATTTTACCGGCAAGTTTTGTTACCCCAAGATGGTACTCAGAATAGAATCCTGTACAACTTCTGATTGGATGATACAAGATTGGAATTACTTTTAATCGAAAGATTATCCAATTAGGTTTAAAAAATCCAGAAAATCAAATTTACATTTTACAAAGTATAGAAAATATCTTCCATTTCTACACGTCGGAGCCATTAAAAATATGCCTTTTTCATTAAGCAAAAAAAAAATAGACGATGTTTTTCAACTGCATTTTAAGTCAATTTTTGCCGCATGAACAATATATATTTTTTTGGTTGTTATGCACCACTGGCATTTCTAGAAACTGCTACCCGTTTTTTCCTAGTTTGTGTAGTCTTCCAGAAATAAAATACGAAACAGCTCTGGTACACTATGGAAAATGCATTACGAATAATTGCGCTCTTGTAACCTATAGGAAAATGATATTTGTTTTTCATATGGCTTTGAAAAATGTTAGAAATATTCATTTTGCTTGGAAAAATACGAAACAGTAATTTATGGGGTCAAATGGACTTTTCATCAGCGTGCATTCAAGCTATAGTCTGTTTCCTATTTGTATTGATTTCTATATCTGAAACTAGGGTGGGCTCGAATGTAGACACAGTATAAAGAGAATAGAACGTTGATATCTACTGTTTTTATTGGGAAAAGCATGTATATAGCTTGAATTTGGAGATACATTTTGATTTTTAAACATAATGATCGTGACTCAGTTGCTATTCTAACAAAAAGTAAATTTGGTGAAAATTGGCAAAAGAGCCCCTAAGCAAACACCAATGATTGAGTTGAATTGCAAAGTAGAAAAATTAAACTTTGCATTAAACATTTTAGTAAGAGAATAGTTTTTCATGCCAAAGTAGTAATATTTTCATATATTCGAAATTTGGAAAAACTATAGTCTGTTTCAAAACCGTATTTTTTCAAGAAATGGTTTCAATTAAAGCCATTCTTCAAAATTCTCTGTAGCTTTTCCATATCAGAACGGTTTTGTCGGCAATATGATCAGTGCTGGATGACTTTTAAAAAATGAGGGCAGTAAATAAACATTATCTTCTTGTCATTTTGAACAGTACTGTATTTGGTAAAAAAAATCAGTTCAAATTTTAGGCCAGATCGACGTCCAATAAATTATTCTCAAAATTCAGAGAGTGATCAGATAATGTTTTGAAGCTGTGCTATGAGGTAGATAGACGCTTGCACTTCATATGGCCCGTGCGCTTAATTTTACACAAAATTCTGAATTACCCTATAGGAAAATGACATTTGTTTTCATAAAGCTTTGAAAAATGTTAAAAATAATAATTTTGCTTGGAAAAAGAAGGAAACAGTAATTTATGGGGTCAAATGGACTTTTCATCAGCGTGCATTCAAGCTATAGTCTGTTTCCTATTTGTATTGATTTCTATACCTGAATCTAGGGTGGGCTCGAATGTCCACACAGTATAAAGAGAATAGAACGTTTTTGTGATATCTACTGTTTTTATTGGGAAAAGTATGTATATAGCATGAATTCGAAGATACATTTTGGTTTTTAAACATAATGATCGTGACTCAGTTGCTATTCTAACAAAAAGCAAATTTGGTGAAAATTGACAAAAAGAGCCCCTAAGCAAACACCAATGATTGAGTTGAATTGCAAAGTAGAAAAATTAGACTTTGCATTAAATATTGTAGTAAGAGAATAGTTTTTCATGCCAAAGTAGTAATATTTTCATATATTCGAAATTTGGAAAAGCTAAAGTCTGTTCCAAAAACGTATTTTTTCCAGAAATGGTTTCATTTGAAGCCATTCTTCAAATTCTATGTAGCTTTTCCATATCAGAACGGGTTTGTCGGCAATTTGATCAGTGCTGGATGACTTTTAAAAAATGAGGACAGTAAATAAACATTATCTTCTTGTCCTTTTGAACAATACTGTATTTGGTAAAACAAAATCAGTTCAAAAGCTAGATAGACGCTTGCACTTCATATGGTCCGTTCGCTTAATTTTAGAAAAATTTCTGCATTACTCTATAGGAAAATGACATTTGTTTTTAATAAGGCTTTAAAAAATGTTAAAAATAGTCATTTAGCTAGGAAAAAATACGAAACAGTAATTTATGGGGTCAAATGGACTTTCCATCAGCGTGCATTCAAGCTATAGTCTGTTTCCTATTTGTATTGATTTCTGTATCTGAAACTAGGGTTTGTATAGAATGTCGACACAGTATGAAGAGAATAGAACGTTTTTGTGATATATACTGTTTTTTATTGGGAAAAGCATGTATATAGCTTGAATTTGGAGATACATTTTGAAATTTAAACATAATGATCGTGACCCAGTTGCTATTCTAACAAAAAGTAAATTTGATGAAAATTGGCAAAAGAGCCCCTAAGCAAACACCAATGATTGAGTTGAATTGCAAAGTAGTAAAATTAAACTTTGCATTAAACATTGTAGTAAGAGAATAGTTTTTCATGCCAAAGTAGTAATATTTTCATATATTCGAAATTTGGAAAAACTACTGTCTGTTTCAAAACCGTATTTTTTCAAGAAATGGTTTCATTTAAAGCCATTCTTCAAAATTCTATGTAGCTTTTCCATATCAGAACGGTTTTGTCGGCAATATGATCAGTGCTGGATGACTTTTGAAAAATGAGGGCGGTAAATAAACATTAACTTCTTGTTACCTTTTGAACAGTACCGTATTTGGTAAAAAAAAAATCAGTTCAAATTTTAGGCCAGATCGACGTCCAATAAATTATTCTCAAAATTCAGAGAGTGATCAGATAATGTTTTGAAGCTGTGATATAAGCTAGATAGACGCTTGCACTTCATATGGCCCGTGCGCTTAATTTTAGAAAAAATTCTGCATTATTCTATAGGAAAATGACATTTGTTTTTTAAAAGGCTTTGAAAAATGTTAAAAATAATCATTTTCCTTGGAAAAAGTACGAAACAGTAATTTATGGGGTCAAATGGACTTTTCATCAGCGTGCATTCACGCTATAGTCTGTTTCCTATTTGTATTGATTTCTATATCTGAAACTAGGGTGGGCTCGAAAGTCGACACAGTATGAAGAGAATAGAACGTTTTTGTGATATATACTGTTTTTTATTGGGAAAAGCATGTATATAGCTTGAATTCGGAGATACATTTTGGTTTTTAAACATAATGATCGTGACTCAGTTGCTGTTCTATCAAAAGGCAAATTTGGTGAAAATTGACAAAAAGAGCCCTTAAGCAAACACCAATGATTGAGTTGAATTGCAAAGTAGAAAAATTAAACTTTGCATTAAATATTGTAGTAAGAGAATAGTTTTTCATGCCAAAGTAGTAATATTTTCATATATTCGAAATTTGGAAAAGCTATAGTCTGTTTCAAAAACGTATTTTTTCAAGAAATGGTTTCATTTAAAGCCATTCTTCAAAATTCTATGTAGCTTTTCCATATCAGAACGCTTTTGTCGGCAATATGATCAGTGCTGGATGACCTTTAAAAAATGAGGGCAGTAAATAAACATTATCTTCTTGTCATTTTGAACAGTACTGTATTTGGTAAAAAAAAATCAGTTCAAATTTTAGGCCAGAACGACGTCCAATAAATTATTCTCAAAATTCAGAGAGTGATCAGATGATGTTTTGAAGCTGTGAGCTTAATTTTAGAAGAAATTCTGCATTACTCTTTAGGTTACAAGAGTGCAATTATTTTTTACATTTTACCGGCAAGTTTATTTACCCCAAGATGGTACTCAGAATAGAATCTTGTACGGCTTCTGATTGGATGGTACAAGATTGGAATTACTTTTAATCGAAAGATTATCCAATTAGGTTTAAAAAATCCAGAAAATCAAATTCACATTTTTACAAAGTATAGAAAATATCTTACATTTCTGCACGTCGGAGCCATTAAAAATATGCCTTTTTCATTAAGCAAAAAAAATAGACGATGTTTTTCAAGTGCATTTTAAGTCAATTTTTGCCACATGACCATGTATATTTTTTTGATTGTTATGCACTACTGGAATTCATAGTAACAGGAACTGCTACCCGTTTTTTCCTAGTTTGTGTAGTCTTCCAGATATATAATACGGCACACCACTGGTACCCTATGGAAAATGCATTACGAATAATTGCGCTCTTGTAACCTATAGGGAAATGACATTTGTTTTTTATAAGGCTTTTAAAAATGTAAGAAAAAGTCATTTTGCTTGGAAAAATACGAAACAGTAATTTATGGGGTCAAATGGATTTTTCATCAGCGTGCATTCAAGCTATAGTCTGTTTCCTATTTGTATTGATTTCTATACCTGAAACTAGGGTGGGCTCGAATGTCGACACAGTATGAAGAGAATAGAACGTTTTTGTGATATCTACTGTTTTTATTGGGAAAAGCATGTATATAGCTTGAATTCGGAGATACATTTTGGTTTTTAAACATAATGATCGTGACTCAGTTGCTATTCTAACAAAAAGCAAATTTGGTGAAAATTGGCAAAAAGAGCCCATAAGCAAACACCAATGATTGAGTTGAATTGCAAAGTAGAAAAATTAAACTTTGCATTAAACATTGTAGTAAGAGAATAGTTTTTCATGCCAAAGTAGTAATATTTTCATATATTTGAAATTTGGAAAAACTACAGTCTGTTTCAAAACCGTATGTTTTCAAGAAATGGTTTCATTTAAAGCCATTCTTCAAAATTCTATGTAGCTTTTCCATATCAGAACGGATTTGTCGGCAATATGATCAGTGCTGGATGACTTTTGAA